CCAGGCTATTTATATATCTTTCCTTGAAAGATGTTGAAAGATGATGCCATACACTACATGACTTCATCGTTCTTCTGTTTTCTTATTGGTCTTTTTACCACAGTTGAGAATAACTGATGAGTAATAATGAAATGAGTCCTAGGATAATCACACAAAATTGTTTCAAGATACTGGAAATGTAAAATCATGAAAATTTTAAAGGGGTCTAAAAGGTATATTGCAAAAAAATAAATTTTGTTGAATTGTTTTCTCTTTGTTCTTTGAAAGACCTCAATAAAGAATAAAAGTCACAAAATAGCAAACCTTACAAATAGTTGGAACAGTTCAAAAAAGAAATGCAAAAAATAAATTAGGTCCAACAGAGCCTAATGGCATGAGGGTTAAATCGGGGGGTGAAGACTCAGTTGGGAGCTAATGTGTCCTTAACATATCTTTAATTATCACTAATTTCCTTTTATAATAAAGGATAAGCAGGCTTCACGTTGAGGGACTTCAGCAAACAACAGTATCTACCTAAAGCTTAAAATTGTCTTTTCTCACTCTGTCTTAGCCTCAATACTGAAATCCAAAAAACTCTGAAAACAAACTTTTGTAACTCTGTTGGTGGCAAAAGCTGCCTTGACCTGCCTGACCTCATCTAGCAGGGAAACCTGACCTGAACTGACATAAGCTATGCATAGTCTTTATCCAATTTAATAGAAATATTCAGATACTCCATTGGAGAAAAGTATTAATGTATCTGATTAAGGGGATTCTACCTCAGATACCAATAAAAGTGTTATATAATATTTGATATGTTTACTATATGTTAATTTTTTTTTTAAGATTTTATTGGGGAATTGAGGGAGGGAACAGTGTTGGGGAATCGGGGAACGGGAACAGACAAGCTATTGTCCTTTTGTTCTTCCGTCTATTTGTGGAGGACGTCACTTCAGTGGCCCATGTTGGTATTATCACTGTGCTCTTCCCGGGTGAAGAAGTCGCTCGCTGGCCATTGGATGGCAGCTCACGAAAGCTCACGCCCGCTGCCAGCCGCTCACGGTAGCTTATGGCAGCCCACTGCAGTCCCACTGCAGTCTACCCCATCACGGGCAACTCGCCACAACCCAACTCCAGGTCAAGCTGTTGTTCACCATCTTAGCTGTAGAGGGCGCAGCATCACTGGCCCTCATACGTGGGATCCAAACTGGAGCCCTGCTGCTCAGAGCTGGCGTCCCAAGCCAACTCCTAACCAGCGCACCACTTGACCGACCCTGTTACATTTTTTAATATCCAAAAAAACCTAAATTTTGAAATCTAGGGTTTGAGATAAGGGAACTTAAATCTGTATTCTATTTATAGCAAGGCAACTAGTTTTCCTTTTACAAAAGTGATATAAAGTTTCCTTTTAAATAAATTTAAGTTAAAAATGAATGATTTATAATACTAAGTAATAGTTCAGGTGGTATATAAATGACTAAAATTATGACAATAATATGTTGTAATAAACAGTTATGACCAAAACTACGAAGGCAGTATATGAATAACTTAAATCTAAGAAACACTGGTTTATAATATCTAATGATGTGCCCCATGGTTAGGAGAACTGAAGTACTTAATCAGCGGTGAGTTTAAACAAGTTATCTATTGAGCATTCATTTAATGCACTACACATGGTTCCTGCCCTGAAGCCTCACATTACACAACTGGGATCTCAAATATTTAGTGACACGCTATCCCAAACAATAAAAAGTATAAGCAGTGAGTACAATACACCACTGAACACTCTTCAGGAAAAATTTAAAATTCCATGAAGGCCTAAATTTTGGCCCTAAGAGAAGCCAAAAGAGGGCTGTACTATGAAAATAGACACTTTTTGCCATTTATGTTTATATGCAGTAGTTAGTATATGTACAAAAGCCAAATAAAGAGAAAATTACAGTCGCTCTCCCCTCAGTATTTATCTATCAGTGACATTAACAAATGTTCACTGTGTAGAGACTTGAAAGTCCCTGGTCTCAAGGACCCTACTTACTAAAACAAAAGTCAGCTCCACTAAAGCCAGAATTCCTAACAAATGTTAAGGATAAAGGCAGACTTTGTGATTGGAAATAATGACTATGGAGCACAGTTTCTCAACCTCAGCACTACAGACATTTTGGACTGGATAATTCTTTACCGTGGAGGCTGTTCCTGTGCATCGTAGACTGTTTAGCAGCATCCCTGGCCTCTATACAATAGATGTCAATAGCACTTTCTAATTGTGACAATCAAAATGTCTTCAGACACTGCCAAATGTCTCCTAGGAAACAAAATCACCCTAGTTGGGAATCACTGCTACAGAATAATAATAATATTAGATGATATGATAGCCAGGTACCATGTCAGATGTTAGAATACAGAGACGAGACAAGGTCCATGCCTCCACTCCGACTAATAGAGACAATAAAAGTAAACGGAAAATTAAAATGCAGTGTGTTATAATAAAAGTGTTGAGATGGGGGTTACAGGGCAGACAGAGCCAGACAAAAGGAGGAAAATGTGTTCTAGGCAAAGAAGGAAAGAAAAGACATCATGTATAGAGCTACAGTTAGATTAAGAAAATAAAACATATTCTGGGGAAAAACTGAATAGTCTGTGGTAGTTATTTGAGCAGAGGGCTCATGGGAAGAACAGGAGAATGGCTGGAGTCAGAAAAGAATCTCTGTTAAGAGTTAGTAGAGGCAGGCTGGCCAAGTTGGCATGGGAGCGCGAGCTCTGAGCAGCAGGGCCGCCGGTTTGGATCCCACATGGGCCAGTGACACTGCACCCTCTACAGCTAAGATGCTGAACAACAGCTCGACCTGGAACTGGGCTGCCAGGAGTCGCTGGCAACAGCGTAGGCTGCAGTGGGGCTGCAGTAGACTGCCGTAAAGCTACCGAGAATGGCCAGCAGCAAGCGTGAGCAGCAGGGAGCCAGCGTGAGCTGCCATGAGCGACCGTCCAATGACCGGCGACCGATCTACTTAAGCCGGGAAGAGCGCAATGATTATACCAACATGGGCCAGTGAAGCGACATCCTCAACAACTAGACTGAAGAACAAAAGGACAGCAACTT